AGATGGTGAAACCGGTTTGTGTAGGATGCAGAGCTGTGACATCATAAGATATAACAAGGTTGTTGGAGAATGTATGATCAGTAGAACATATCACAAAGAAACAAATCATCAATAAAAGGGGCCAAAAATATCAATTTTATTACTAATCCCCATGTACCCCCCACAGGGTTCCACCCTACCAGTGTCTATTGTAAATTAACTGACATCTTTGCAAGGTTTCTTCTCTTATAAATATTGACTTTGCTTTTTTCCATATTTTTTAACTTGTTTCATCTGATAACCAACACCTATTAGTAATGACATAGCCTTACCACAGGAAATTCTCATAAAATTTAAAAAAAATGCTAATTATAAAGTCAATGGAGTAGGAAAAAAAAAAACAATAATAGTAAATTATACCAGTTTCTGCTTCATTTCCAGAAAATCAGAAAATCATTTAAATTTCATCCTCCTGTCTTTTAAATTTTTCTCATTGACGTACATTAAAAGTGATAAGGTGACATGGTTGACCTTACCAGACAAAAAAAATCCCCCCAAAAAATATTAACATTGACTTTGATTGACTACAGTAGATGATATGAAATGCTAGTAACATTATATTGATTGAAAGTAACGTCAAGTGACAGATATGTGACAAACGCTTTATCGTTTACGACCAAAATTGCAACAGTACCTCATAAATATAATATGCATCGTGATGCTGAATAAACTGATCTAAAAGCTTAGCAATATGATTAAAATTTTACTTACAATATATTCAAAGACAATATATTACTGTATATCAATAGCAAATATTGTTTCTTCACCGTGTAAAACTTCAACAAATAATATTACATAATATATTACTACATTTATGTTTTATAATTAAATTATATACTATTATAATTAATATTATTACTATATGGTATAATATGTTATATTAATGTTGGAGTTCCATCTGCTTATAACTGCTGTCTTTGCGAGTCACAGATGTGAAACAAGTTTATAAAAATAAATATTGCGCCCTCTATCCTATAATTACCTAAAATAAAGTACCTTCTAAGTTATAATATAAGATTCCTATTGTGGCTGTGACTTATCAGACACAAAATTTATTTCGTGTCTGTCAAAAGTTTAATAATAATATTGTGTATATAGACTGCTCACATCAAGCTAAATTCCTCCTGCATAACCACCTATAATTCACCATAATATTACAGTGTATATTTGTTTTTATTCTTCCCTATTTATTTGTCTAAGTAATCTTGTAATGTTTTACCAGTGGCAGCAAATTTTTTTTTTTACCTTGACCATGGAAATATAACTTATTCAACATTTTATAGTATTATATTCATACCCAGGTGCACCCACATTCAAAATGTACAGCACGTATGAAAATGAAACATACCTGGCTATCATTTGAATTAGGATGTATGTACTGAATATGCTGCTTTCTTAAATCACTGTAAATACCTGAGTTCCCAATTACCCGCAGTAATTATCAGCGTACTGCAATTAGCTGCCGCTGGTCATACTTACCCTTGGACCATTGTATTCCCTAATGAAATCTTGCTCAAGAGACTGCATGATAATATTAGGATTACGTCAGTGTGTGTCTATCCTTTATCCTGAAGTAGCTTTATATTCATAAACTGATAAATAGTAAAGCTCACTACGCCATACCCCAATCCCTCCTCTAATTGAAATGAACTTTGCAAGTCCTTGTGGGTCAATATTCTTGGCTGGAAAGGGCTCATTATTTGGAAAATCATTAAGAAGCACCAGTAGTCATGTCAATGTTGTATGCTTAACACATTTCAGACCAGGTAAACTTCGACTGCAAATTCAGTTCTATGATTAGATGCCTGTATTAATGAACTGTGTGTATGGATGACTGAAAATATGCTTACATAATATTGACAAAACAGAATGTCTTGTGCTATAATTAGTAACATAAAAAATGTATGAATAATTATTATTTCAATTTACATATTAAAAAAAACTGGACTGCCAAATTAGCATTTCGTGGATATAGAATTCATTTTACTACTCTCTCTCTTCAGTTCGCATTGGGTGCAGGTTAAGGATCGCATTTTTTCCAAAATGTACTTAAAAAGAATATTGTTTAGAATTTGGAATAGCGTTGAGACTGGAGAACAACAGTCACTGCCTTTAAATCAGTAGATGAAAACAGCGCCACCCTCACTTTGCAGCATATTTTAATAACTATAAAACCAATAGTTTATTGTTCTGGCATGGATGTTCCTTATTGGATGAATCACTCGTTCTGATTTCACATACGGTACTCCTAAGATTTGGAATGTTTCTTCTAGTATTCATAGTATTATTTTGAGAATTTACTGCGTATTAACAAAGAGGCACTGAAAGTTCACCTATTTGCCACATACTTTTATTCTTAATGCTGATCATGATTGATGGTCACTTTTAACAAGCATCGGTGTAGTACGCTATAATTGTGATGTACTAGCGCAATATAAATACCCGACTATATATAGATATTTGGCAGCTTCTCAAAGGGGTTGCCTAGCCAACTAAACTTATTTGATAGTTCCACATGGCATAGGTGACACATTAAATTTAAGATCCATCACCTAATGACTTAATATTAGGATGAATGTTAGTTTGCGAGCTGCTTACAGCGGAAGTTTTGATTTTTTTATTTTTAAAAATTGTAATAATCACATTAATGCATGTGACTGATTATTTTTATTGAGGTTGTAGTTATTTCAATGTTTATTACTATATCACTATTGTTGCTCCTTAATATTGTTGTAATGTTAATATTATTTACAATAAAAAATAAAAATAATTAAGTTCATTATAGGAAAATGAATGCAGACTTAGAATCAATTATAACGTTATATCATCATTGCGGACTTATAAAATCTGCATACGCCTTAAAACTAAAAGAAAATGCATACTTTTGGAGTCCGTACTGAACCCAAAAAATTCGCAATGAAAATATAACATGTTTTATGATATCAAATTCTGAGACAAACACTTCAAATGATAGTACACAGTGTTGATGCTGATAAAAATGAGTTGTAATGGAAATTAACTACTGTAGGATTGCAATATATTAAAAAAAAAAACTGTAAAAATATTTATTACAGTATATTAATTATTATTTAAATAAATTGCTATTAAATTGAAGTAGTTGGATTTATATAGTGCTTTATAAGTATATAGTGCCTTAGAAGTCTCAAAGCGCTTAAGTGGGGACTAGCTTGTACAGTAACTTGCTTCTCCTCTAAGAGTCTCTTCATGTCTGAGCTACCTGGTAAACAGGTATCAACTACTTTCATCTGTCGACAACAAGAAGCCCCCCCTCCCCTGGAGCTGAAGCTTTCTAGCATGTGATTTCTTTCAGCTTTCTGATGATTTATGACGGAGTTTACTCAAAGTAGGAAGTTCAGTTGAGCCATTGAAACCCCTGGTTACAGGCCTGTTAAATTTGTTGACATGCAGGATACATTAGATGGTCTACTAGGGTAAATTTGGAAGGTACACTTGGGTAGTTTTTATGGTACTCAAGTAAATGTGGAAGGTACACTTGGGTAGTTTTTGGATGGCACATTTATGAAAGTTAGAAAGTACACTGCGATATATTTTTGATGGTACTAAAGCAAATTTGGAGGTAGGCCTATACTGGGATAGTTTGTTTTTATGGTACTCAAGTAAATTGGAAAGTACACTGGAATAGTTTTTGGATGGTACACTTGGGAAAGTTGGAAAGTACAATGGGATATTTTTTTGATGGTAATCAAGCAAATTTGGAAGGTAGGCCTACACTGGGATAGTTTGTGTTTGGTACTCAAGTAAATTTGGAAAGTACACTGGGATAGTTTTTGGATGGTACACTTTGGAAAGTTGGAAAGTACACTGGGATAGTTTTTTGATGGTACTCAAGTACTGTAAATTTGGAAAGTACACTGGGATAGTTTTTATGGTACACTTGGGAAAGTTGGAAAGTACACTGGGATATTTTTTTGATGGTACTCAAGTAAATTTGGAAGATACACTGGAGTAGTTTTTATGGTACTCAAGTAAATGTGGAAGGTACATTTGGGTAGTTTTTGGATGGCACACTTAGGAATGTTATAAAGTACAATGGGATATTTTTTTGATGGTGCTCAAGCACATTTGGAAGGTACACTGGAGTAGTTTTTATTGTAATCAAGTAAATGTGGAAATTACACATGGTTAGTTTTTGGATGGCACATTTAGGAAAGTTTAGAAAGTACAATGGTACTCAAGCAAATTTGGAAGATAGGCCTACACTGGGATAGTTTGTTTTTGGTACTCAAGTAAATTTAGAAAGGTACACTGGGATAGTTTTTTGAAGTACTCATGTAAATTTGGAAGGTACACTGGGGTATATATTTTTTTATGGTACTCAAGAAAACTGGAAGGTAGTACTGCAGTAGTTTTCTTATGGGGCACCCAAGGAAATAGAAAAGTACAGTATACACTGGGATAGATTTTAGATCGTAAATTTGGAAAGTACTTTTTGGATTATATTCGTAACATCAAGTAAATTTGGAAAACACACTGAATAGTTTTATATTGGATGGTACAAATGAGTAAATTTAAATGGTACACTCAGATGGATTGAAGTGGTACACGTCTGTCTAAACACTGAAAATATGCTAGGGCAAATCTGTAAGGTACACTAGGAAAATCTGGAAAATTCACAGGGTAAACTACTATAGAGTGATAGAATCAAGTAAACTTGCAAGGTACAATGCGTTAATTATGGAATGGTTGACACAGGTATATTTTGAAAGTACACTATGTTTGGCAATTTTGGTGGGTGTATATATGGAAAATACACAGGGTATTTCTGGATGGTGTACTTGGATAAATTTTAATAATCATATGCTTTGTTTTGGGAAGGTACTGATGGTTCAAATTGGAAAAGTAAATTAAATCTAATGTTAAAATATGGGTTTAAAAATATTCATGGTATGCTGGATTGGTAATATTTAAAGTCTACTTACTTGTACCAACACAGCACGGCAATAGCTATACCAGAAACTCCAACCACCACACAACTAGCAATAATAACTGAAAGAATAGAATTATTTTATTATGCAAAAAGAACACAAACTTATCAGACATTTTATGAAAATTTTCCATCTTATGTGATATAAATTCAACATTTTTAGTTTGAAAAATCCTCACACGTACTGGCCATAATAAACGTATGTTGTAGCGAACTTGTGATGACAGGGAACAGTAGAACCATACTCAGTTGCACTTGAAGAACGGGTAAAATCGATAGACAACGATTATAGAATTCCAGAAGGTTCTGCCTAGTTCAGTCCTATCTCCAGAGTACAGATACAACACTTAATACAGCAGAGTATAAACTAGCGACACAGTATTTTGCTGGATGGGACTACAGACCTTGGCATAGATTTGAGATGAACAAACCATCTTATGTGGCCTGACGTACAGTATGTGATAACATACTGTATCTGTATGACATAAATGTCCACCACTTGCAGTTGGTACTTGTATTCAAATCATTTTAAAACTCTTAAAACAGATTCTTTTGTGTACAGTTCAAGGCTTAGATTTTAGAAAGTCAAATTAACAGAGTGCTTTGATAATCCTGTTATTTATTTATACATAGTATTACAATACGAATGATCTGATGCATGACAAAGTCATCCAAACACAATGTAAAATACCAGATACAGCTATTATAAAGCAATGGGAGGCTACCGTGTTTTAGGGCTCTTTCAGCTACTGTATGCTTGCAATGGACAAATCCAATTCTTTCACTTTGAAGAGTCTAGGCCATTGATATTGCCACCATAAATCCCATCATTCAGATTTCTGGCTAAATAACGATTATCTGGTTGATTTTTAAAATAAATTAACCCTGAATAATGAGAGGGAGGTCATGATTCAATGTTTCAGCATTCATATTCGGTTATCTTCAGAAAATGTTTGCTATTATCTCATCCCATATTTTACTTGTTTAGAATGGGATTTCCAATTGTGAAAATACCCAGTAGTTTACATTATAATTTGTTTGCCATTTTAATTTTTTTTTAATTTGACCTACATTTTTATTATGTTCTTGTTGGCTCACTTTCTTACTGCCAGATTCCATTATGTGGAATTAAAAAAAAATTATGATATTAGTGTATTGTGGTATTGAAAGAAAGGCCAATAGGTCAGAGATTTTAGTTCACTGAATTACAACCTATTTGTGTGTGTTTTATTACAAATTGTCTTAGAAGGCAAAAAGCCCCTTAGATTGTGATTAAGTTCTTTGTATGACAATCTTCAGCATCTGAGCCTATGTTTCATGTATTGTATTTGATGAATGGACTTGAGCAGTGATTTTCATTGTATGACAATCTTTAGGCTTTTTGTTCAATATGTTAAGAAGAAGGCTCATTTAACAAGATATCCCAGAAGTCGCTTTTTCCAACTTGGTTCCCTTTTTTTGTGGATAGTAACCAATCCTTGATCTTGGTACATGTATCAATTGTGTAATCAACATATAACCGACAAATGCAATTTACACTATACACACCTATAAATTGCCAGTTAGTAAGGACAATCTCTCCACTTGAGATACGAGGTCTGTTATCAACAGGTGCTGGGGCGATGTTTGAACCTCCTCCTCCGCCACCACCACCACCTCCGCCACCTCCGCCACCATCTCCACCGTCACCTCCATCAGCCCGTCTGTCCACTTGCCCGGCAGCATTCACTTCTAGTTGCGGTTGTTTTGTTGTTGCTGTAAAGAAAAAGTACAAATCTTTATCAACATAATTTAAATAATATTTGTATCTTAATTTTTTATGTTCATTTTTTAATCAATATTTTTTACATCACCACAGCAACAAAAGCAGCAACAGCATTAGCATCATTATCAACAACAAGATTTATATAGCACTTCATGTTGAAAAAGTTAAAATGAAAACAAATTATTATAATAAACAAGAAAGGTGTAAAAAAAACGTTAGGGCACAAATATTGTATTTATTGATTGATTAAATGCTTGATAAAAACAATATCAAATTCATACCAGGACCATCAAAGTATCTTCCACCATTGAACTCACAACGGTAGCTACCGACTGTGTTTGTGCAACCGATGTCCATGGGGCATGCATTGGGTATCCTGCACTCGTCAACATCTAGAATAAACAAACCAATTAATGTGCAGAGACTATGACCGACTCAACTGTCATATTTCGCAAGAAAATTGATTGGAAGCTTGAATAATGGTGGGGTGATCAAGATTATAAAAGAGCAGTTTTCTATAAGTAAATGACATGCTCCTGATTATTGTCTATCACTCTGAATGTAGATTGGATATTGTTTAACATTTCATTAATACATCATATGAATGATGAAACCCATTGCTTTTGAATAGAACATGTTCATGAAATAATTAAGCATCTAATAAAACTAATATCATATACGGTACAAAATATACATGTTTGAGGAAATAAAACATTGTTTATAATAAATAATTAATGTTAGAGAAATACACAATGTACATTGAAACTATGAAGCAAGGTTTCGATGAAAATGAGGGATGGGAGAATGAATGAAAAAGGGATAGATAATTAGAGTGTATGATTTAACCAAAGGAAGGTTAGAGCTTTTTGAAGTTAGGGAATGTTGTTATAATGAAAATAAAAATAAAATATTGGTACAAATTCTAAATAATTCTATACCTTCACATTCTCCATTTGTTAATGCAAAACCCTCATCACAAGATTCTGTAAAACAAAAAAACATTAATATATTTATTTCATCAAATATTTTTACAAAGTAGAGGAGGGCAAAACATAAAAAAATACAAATTAAATAACAATAGCATTTAATACTAAACTTACTATGTCTGTTTGAACAACAGAACATAGGGCTTTTCCCAATTGCTTTAATGAGAAATGAAGTTAAAATTGCAACAAAAAGAAAAGTCGTTAAAAGGTATAAAGTAAAAAAAAACACGAAAAACCAATACAATTTTAATGAAGTGGGAAAAAATGAAGTGGGAAAAAAAAAAAAGCAACGAAAACCTAGTTCACTTTAACGTTATTAGTGAGACTTGAACTATTTCTGCAATGGTAATAGCGAGGTACATCGTGACCCATAAAAATTGCGCGCTATATGAACCGACCTTGCATAGGAATTGCAAGGAATTGCATTTAAATAATTTAACTGTCAACCCCATATCCACAACCTAACTTGGGTTAAACTTTCCCGAAAGTATTATTTTTTGAAATATCTGGTCTTAGACATTTTCATAGGAAAGTGCATTTTCAGATCATAGCGATTCAATGACTATTCATGCATATCACGGTTGTTTTGAGTTTATCCTAGCTGTAACTGGTTTAGGCGCTTTAGAAAACGCAAATTGCATTTAAATAATTTAATCAACTGTCAACAAAAAATCTTAAAATGGTCCCCATATCCACAACCTAACTTGGGTTAAACTTTCCCGAAAGTATTATTTTTTGAAATATCTGGTCTTAGACAATTTCCTTTAAATGGTCCTCATATTCACACCCTACGCCGGATCATCACAAAAATTCAGTCATTTCTTTACTGGACCTTTACAAACTATTATAGAAAGTTACATTTACACCCATTGAAAACTTTTTATAGATATTTACGTCTGGGATCTCAAAAATTTGAATGAACCTCCAATGTACACCTTTGACTGATTCGTCGCCAACACATAATACTATCTTCCTTGTAACTTCCTTAAATCTTTTCCGAATATTTCATTCAGATCAGTTGATCCTTATTCGAAATATGTGATCTGGGACGTTTTCATTTAAATGGTCCTCAGATCCACTCCATACTGCGGATGGTCACAAAAATTTAATCATTTTTATACAAGACCTTTACAAAGTATTATAGAATGTTTCATTTAGACACATTGGTTTTTTTAAAGAGATATTTAGGTCTGGGTCCTCAAAAATTGAAAAGACCCTCAAATTTACACCCTTCACTGGACCGTCACTAACACAACAATTTCTTCCTTGTAACTTGATTAAACTTTCCCGTAAGTTTCATTCAGATCAGTTTTTGAAATATACTGTGTAGACTGTCTGACCTTAAATCATTTCAATTGGTCCTCACACGCACATCCCCCCATAGATTGACACTAAATATAAGGAGGCACATCCTTGATATATGGTCTATGCTTCAGCAAAGCACGAAAAAATTCTAAGCAGGGGAAGTGACAAAGTGACGGCCAGAAAAAAGCAGTGCAAAAAGATACGAAAAATACAGTATATGCAAGAAAAAAAAAAAAAAAAAACCAGAACAAAATTCAATGGCTTTTCCGAGTACTGCTGGGAAAAAAAAAACCAGAACAAAATCAATGGCTTTTCCGAGTACTGCTGGGAAAAGCCAAATATAGTGTTATTACTGTACATTTAACAGCATAATGTTAATCATAACATGTACTGTAATATTTTTAAAATGCATGTAATTCTTTTATTTTAAAGTGAACTTTAATCTATAATGAACAAAATTTGTATTCAAAAAAATTCAGAATCATTTGATAGCGAGTATGTTCCTGAGTTGCATATAATTCATCATAGCGCCCTCTATAAATTCCTGAGCTGTTGTGGCAGTGAAGTAGGAACAGATGAGAATAGAAATTTATTGGAACTTGATGACCGCATAATAAGGTGAATTACAAGTCCATACATAATAATAACGGATGCTGTTCAAAATTCAACTCTCAGATTGAAAAAATAAATAATACTACAGGTAAATTGTAAACATTATGAATTCGCAATGAAAATTTCCAGTGCAAATTTAAAAAAAAGGAAATTTGAACAGTCATGTATAGTACGTTTTGATGACAGTTGTTCTCGTATGGTAAATGATAATAGTGATTACCAATGAAATTCATAGCTATTGATTACTAATACTCATCTAGCGATTATATTGAAACTCAAAACTAGAGATTATTTATCAGTATTCTAACAACAAATGAAACCCAAAGGCTTTTTAAACAATATTGCCTGCATTCGGCAACTTTATACTACTCTAGGTCTAGTTACTAAAGGACTTCTGGCACCATGTGTAAGGAATAGTGATTTTTGTAAACTCCAATTTCTATAATAATTGTTAGGTCTGCAAAATGAAATGATAACGCTACCTGTTGTAGGCTCTTGGGCTGCTGCGGCAGCTTTCTTGGCTATACTATCAACAGTATCTCCTGGTAAATCAGCTTCTGTAACAAAAATACAAAAATACTTTAAAAAAAAATCCAAATAACAATAAAATATGGAAATCAAATTAAAAAATGTGGTAAAATCATTACATAATTCAAGGCCTTTCTAGAAACAGATAAATTTGTAAACTTTTAAACTACTTCATCTGCATCAGTGTACAGTATCACTATGCCGTGGGCATTTATCGAAATGGGTAGAGGAACATTGAAAGTGTCCTTAATAATTATTTTTCATGACATACTCTACCCATTAAGATTTAAACCCAAGCTGACCCTGATTAGTTTGCTCTAGCAACGGAGCCAAAGGCAAAGATGCGTTCGGTCCTCCCATTAAAGACACGTTTTCTAATGGTGTTGCATAATACTCTAGGCAAATTGATTGATAAATCATGTGATAATGAAGTTAAATGAAATGAAGTAAAAAGAACATCTCCATTGCTTATAAATAAAGATTTTAAATCAGGCAATACTATGTAAAATGTAGCACAAGTTAAAAGCTTAATAATTATATTGTTCGATTAAAAATATTACATATAAACAGATATAAACACAATGTTATTTATGCAACATTGTTTAATTGCAACAATAACAATGAATGATTTAAAATGAATAAAATAATTAATAAAAATGAATGGCTTAGATACAAAGAGCAATTTAAATGCTATATTAAATCCAGATTAATAGTTGATTGTACAGTAACTGTTGACATTTTTCCTATATTAGCGTTTCCATCGCATCAGTGAATGCCGAGAGGAATATGAATACTCCAGCAACCCTCTGGAGAAAACCCTTTGATGAAAATACCATTAGTCAAGTTACATCGCCATATATACCAAAGTTCAATACTGCTGCGTACACAAAACAGAAAACAAGAACACGTTATAAAGCATTTAGTCCAGTATGGAGAAAAAATATGGCAAGCCTAAGCATTTATCGGCGTCAATTTCAAGATGAATGGCATATGGAACCACCATTAATTCGAGGATGTCACAAGCGAAAAAATACCAACACAATTAGCATACATTACTTTAATTTGGCAACAACAATATACATCCACCAACAAATTTGATAAACAAATGATGGAGAAATAATATAGAACATCGTATGCATCATATCTCTGTTCAGAATACATAATTTTAAACTTTATGGTTGATTTGGTTGTTCATGATGTCATCTACATTTATGTAATAATTATAAGGATCAGGTACTGTTCGGGCTCTCATCCTTTCCCTATCTAGGGAAACTAGTTCATTTAATTCATCTGAATTGACACATAAATATTATTACAAGAAGCGAGTTTGGCAACTTGATGGTATAGCATTTAGCTTAACAGAGTACGAAGGAAATTAATTTTGATGAAACAGCTACCAACCAGTTTACTGTGCCAATAACCCAGATAATAGTTGTCTAAGAAAAAAGAAATATAAAAAATGTTTAAATATTAAACAGTTAATGGATAAATACTGAAACAGACAAGAAAAAAGCAGATTATTAGAACCTGTTTAATATTTAATACATTTTTATTTTTATTTTTTATATTTAGTTCTATATTCTAATTAATTAAATTTCTTTGATTAATTATGTTGGGTTTCTCACATTTTAAATTTGTTTGTTATATTAATTTTTAAATATTTCCATTAAAAATGCTATAAGCTGGTGAAGAGACAATGTTGACGTTGACCTTGCAGTTCACAGGTTATTAACATTGATGTCAGTGTTTAAATCCATGCTCTACGTTTCGCATGTCCACGGGCAAGGCACTTTGGACATGTTGTCTCTCCCATTCCATGAGTGTAAATGGGTATCAGTTATTAATGATTAGATTGACTAATAAATACTGTAGGTATCAGGTAGGTTTCACTACTAATGTGCTCACTACTTTCCGTCATTATAGAATACTATACTCCCCTAGGGGAACATCAGGTTTCATGGTATGTCTTCCACTGATTTGGTTAAAAAGGAATAGCATTAATATGCATTATATCCAGTAAAGACCCAACATATTATTATCAATATAATTATCAATATTCGTATGATCATGATACATGACAAAATAATTATGTCATCAACATTGGTAATAAACCCAAAGTAAATAATAATCCTCTGTGTGAATTTCTTCATAAAATAGTGTTTTTTGAGGAAATGCATCAATCCCATTATCCAAGGCAAATACAATGATGTGAATTATATTAAATTCTATGTTACATATTACATACGCCTATTATTTACTACCTCCTATGCAATATAGTAGTATAGTTAGATCTAAAATAATATATTTATTATAATAGTTTATACATAAGAATGGATTTCTGTTTTACAAGTTTGCCATTAGAAGATGTACAGTAGCCCTACAGGAGCAGAAGGTCAGAAATTCAAAATAGAGGGGGCCCAGACCAGGGACTTTTGCAAATGGATGATTCAGACTACCATACTGTAGCCACACCACGGTGGGTCTAAAGAGACTTTACAGCTATAGTATGGCATCTCTAGATAGCTGGTTGGTTGGTACTCTCAGACATAAAGTTGAATGACATTTTTTCCTTTTTTATATAATCCATGGGCATGTTTCTGCTGGAAATCCCAAAAATACAGGAATAATACAGGTATTCAAAATACCCGTATAATACCGGTATCGAAATCCTAACCCCATTTCTTCTGCCGATCTGAGCTTATTCTAATGGGTGGTCGTGTCTGGTTTCTGTCAAAAACACGACGGAATTTCGTCATCGTTACCCAAAAGGCCATTTGCGAAGCGGAAGTTTACCTACCTACCTACCTAGCCCAGGCATGCCTTCGTTCTTTCGATCCCTGCGAACGCGAGTAACGACAACATAGCAAGAAAAACCATTGCCTAGTTTTGAAGGGGTATAAACAAGTATGTACCATTTACTTCCCTCCGTCCATCCATTAAAAACGGGAGGTTAAGAATTGCCCAGTCGCCCAATATTTGGTCCAGCTCATCGTAAAATGGGCATGTAACTCTGTTCCTGCCCGACCGGTTGTTGTTATCTTTAGCAGTAGTGTACTGGCGCTTCAGAGATTTGATTTTATTTATTATTTGTTTGGAACTGAATTCAGTTCCAAATCACGCTTTAATCTTAGCTACTAAGTTTTGGTAAATAATGGCATCTCGTTTTGTGCCACTGAACTTCCCATTAATCTTTTCTTCGCCCCAGGCTAGAACCAAAAAACGAGTTATTTCTTCCGTCCACATCTTTTCACTAGGCCTACAGACAGTATTTTGTACCTACACGCTAGCTAGGCTAGCAGAGAGAAAAAGGTCGTATTGGGGTCATTCCGGGGGTCACCAATACAGGTATTTTGTGTTGCAGCTGAATTTAGGGACTGTGAATACCGTTACACATTCCTGAATACCGGTACGTACCCTCAATCAATAGCGATTTTTTTAAGTGGTACAGAAATACCTGTATTTCTTAGGATGGCCCGTTTCTACTGCAAAAAAAAATACCGATATTTTAAAATACCTGTATTATACAGGTATTTTCTGGCAGCAGAAACAGGCCCCATGATGCCATGAAAACGTGATAAGACACTTTCCATTTTGTGGAAAGGATGATTTATTTAACTGAAAAAAATGAATCAATTAAATTGAAAGTTCTGACAGACATGATGTTTGTATTCTCGTATAGTTTTATGCGTTTCAATCAACAGTAGAAATACATGAGATTAATATAATTACGTACAGAGAAGATATATATTAATATTACAATAAAGATGCCCTACACATGGTAACCTAGTAACAAGGTAGCCTTTAGTTCTAACGAGACGTTCTCTGGTGGAAATTGAAAGTAAACAACTCGCTCAACGACAGCTGAAGGGACTCGAAGAACTAGAATCTTTTTATAACTGCTATACATATAATGTTGACACAATTGTATTCACAGTGTGACAAAATATAAAATCAATGGATTGACTCAGTGCCCGTAGGTACCGCACGTCATGCAAGTTATGAATTAAAAAAAACATTGTCTTTAATAATAAAACGACATGTGTCAACAAAATATGGCTTGTGTAAGATGCAAAATATATTGAGCTTTAAGATACTGTAGTAGGGAAACTTTATTTATTTAATCATATATTATCACAGATCCTTTATACAGGAATGCAATTATATGCCAATCTTAAATGTTCAAAGAATATTCTAAGCTAAATAAACTTGTTTCCTCTCTCATCTGTAAGTAATACATAAAAGTAAACCTAGTGAGCCTATGGCTGAGGAGGGCTACAGGTATTAAACCAAAAGGAAAGTGAAACACTACCACCAGGAAGGTATGATGTGTTAAGACAATGACAACGTTGTTTGATATTGATGATGATGTCTATTATGATAATATTGATGATGATGCCTATTATGATAATAATGATGATTACGACATTGTTGATGATGATCTTAACTATGATGATGACAATGTTGATCTTAACTACGATGATGACGATAATAATTATGATGCATAATGTGGATAATGATTATAATGGTAATCATGAAAATACAAAGATGATTAGTGATGATTTTTGAAGATGTTGATTGATGAGGTTAAGATAATGATGCAAATATGACCATGAAAACAATGTTGAAGGTGAAGATAGTGTAAGGTAAGAAGATGATAACTACAATAATATTAATGGCATGTTTGTTTACTAGAAAAAGTCTATATCATTATCTTAATATTGATTATTCCTTATTACATATTTTACTACCAGATCTTTTTACCAGTTATACATTTGTTTCAGTCAAATTGTAAGTAGAAATATGTCTACTACAGTAGATAAGAAGAATATTCTTGAACAATTACCATTACATTTTAATATTAAATTAGGCATGTACTATTACCTCCATGAGAGACCCATAAAGATCTTTGAATATATAAAGGTGATGTAATTATGAATTCATCAATATATAATATTTACAATAAATGGTACAGTATGTTTTCAACATAAGAAAATGTACAGTACAGTACTTTACAACTTGTCAAAAATAA